CCACCATGTTATATGAACACCGTGTTATACATACTAAAACCATTATTCTTATGTGAGCATTATTGCCATCGTATCTAACAACAAAAAGATAAATTTAGTTTTAACAGAATGCATTCCATGAAAAAATATACATCGTATAATATTGTTTTGTTAAGTATTAATGTATATATTTCTATTAATTAATTCATATAATAATATGTAATAATGCCATTGGAAATAAACAAGAAATAGTAATATTTAATGACATAGTTTTACAAGAACTATGCTTCACATTGTGACAGGACATTGCTTATTGATATATTTTCAAAAAAAAAATTAATTAATCAATCTTTAAAATAAATGAAATAATTTGCAAACTGATATGCATCACAATTTTAATTTCATAAATATATAGTATAGTTGTTCAAAACACAATACAATTTTCAAATAGCAACAGAAATGCGTTTTATATCAGATTGATAAATCGTATTAAATTTTTGTATTAAAAATTTTTGAAGAATTAATTAAGGGAAGAGTATCAGGTAAATGTATGAGATAAAATAAATAGGTAAATATAGGTATTAAGTGAAGATTTAGTAAAATGATATGAAACATACTTACGAAATTTCAGTTTAGTTTAATTACTAACTATTTATTTATTTTACATTTTTTTAGAGAATTTAAACTGATATTTTTTTCAAGCAAATTTCCTTTTCCTTTATCATGGAAAGATAGCACAATAAGTTAAGAAACAAATATATGGGTCAGGCACATTTTCCACAGCACTCGGTATCCCGACAGCTTGATTTTCCTACTTCATTTGCTCGACAACTCATTTGCCCAGCAGGTACATATTGCTCATTTGCTCATTGTACCAGGCAAGTTTATTAATAGACAAGTTTATTTGCCCAAGAACTGCAATGCATTCAACAAAAAATTACGAAAACCGTAACTGATTGACACACATAATTGATTTCATTAATCATTAATTTCTAAAAAAAATGCTAGTTATGCAATCTACGCTCTTTAATACTATCCTCCGTTAGAGCTACATATCCCTATCGTAACGATACTTTAAGAATCGTATTTTATTCTAGAAACGGAATGTTATTTGAACGCCTAATAGAGCATTCGAACTGAACCGTTCATTTTAATATAGCAACCGGCATTTCGTAATTTGATTCAGCAAATCCTTTTTTATTACGACTCATTAAATGTGAATCAAGTTGATGACTTTTTGAATGATGTGAAAATGATGCAGCCCTTACACAAGGGGTCGTATTCTACAGTCAAAAGAGGTCTTTTCACAAGGGGTCGTGTTCTACAGTCAAAATAGCAATAGAGTAATTAATATGAATATGTCTTATAAGCAATAGCGAGCAATATTATATCAACGATAACAAAAAAAATTATATTCATTTCCCCTACATGCCTTACCGGACAAGCATACCCGTCTGGAAAACGGGGTCGGGCGTTTGGGTTCTCGGGCTTCTGAGTGACCGGATCTTCAGATATATTAAATGTGCATTTTAGTCTTCTTAAAATGTATTATTCTAGTTACATGTAGAATGAATTCCTGCAATAAAATACGTAACTTTACGTGAGCTACGTAACTTTACGTGAAGGTATACAGATGAGCATGGGCTCGCTCTTAGAAGCCTGGGCGCACTCAAACCAGAGAATCGTGGGATTCATCAGCAAATTAAAGCCCTATTTCGCCAAGAAAGAATGCCAAAAGAAAAGATAGTGACATGAATAACTTTTATACTAAAGTTCAGATTTTAAAAAACTGATTGCCTGTCGTATTCACTCAAAGCGTTGCTCTCAAATACGCTAACTAATTAGTATACTTATTATTGATTCATGCAGAGTTTCTCCGTTTTAGTTTACAAATATTTTAAGAGAAAGGCATTTCGCTTATAAATGAATAACTTAGTAATGATTAATGAGGCCTGGGAAGTCATGTGCAGTATTAATGATTTCCGAAAAATGTTACATAAATCTTCATTTTTAAAAATGAAATTACTTTTTATTTAATAAAAATCTTCATTTTTAAAAATGAAATTACTTTTTATTTAATAAAAATCTTCATTTTTAAAAATGAAATTACTTTTTATTNTTAGTCATGCAGAGTTTCTCCGTTTTAGTTTACAAATATTTTAAGAGAAAGGCATTTCGCTTATAAATGAATAACTTAGTAATGATTAATGAGGCCTGGGAAGTCATGTGCAGCATTAATGATTTCCGAAAAATGTTACATAAATCTTTATTTTTAAAAATGAAATTACTTTTTATTTAATAAAAATCTTGAAAAATTTATGTGTAATTTTGCAAGACAATATTACGATTTTCTCTGGCATTGATATTTTAAAAAATAATTAAGATATATTCTAAATAAATAAAAAGTTACGCAGCATATTCAAAGGAGCAAATTTTAAGTATTATGACTGGTTTAAAGGCAATGGGTAGTTTTTGTGTAGTTCACAAAACAATATAACTTTTTTTTATCATAATACTTTCTTTTTAACATGATTAAATTTTCATACACTCTACTTATTTCCGCTAAAAACTTTTCAGCGTGACATTAATTTACTTTTGTTCCCAAACTTTCAAACCCCCACATGAAATTTATAACATATTTTGAATAAGAAGTATATTTTTTGATTTATTTGAAGTTTATATACTTCTGAAAAAAGTTTGATGCTATGTATTCTTAATATTTTTAGGAAATGAAATTTCGCTGGTAAGAAACATTTTTTTTAAATTTCTAAATAGTTTCAAGAGTAAGGTTCAGATTCTTGATCTCTTTAAATTGAATGTGTTTTACAATATATTCAGATGATAAAAAACGAATTTAAAACTTACAAGAGATTTGGAGAAGATCATATTGCGCCAAAAAGAAGAATAAAAAGATGCTGTAAAATGTGATTAAACTTAGTAAAATAGTTCTTAATTACGTTCCTTATTAAATAATTAAAGGATTAAATTATTACCATTTTTAACATTGCATTTTTAATGCATAATGCATTTTTAACATTTATCTAGAAGGTTTAGAAGATTTATAATTGATATAAATCTTCTAAACCTTGTAGATAAATGATAAAAATGCATTTAATTTGTAATTATTTTTATTCCATTATTAGCGTTATGAGTATAGAGCGATGCCGTCTCTAATTGCAGACCTAACCTAAATTACATAGATTATCTGATTATAATAAATGTATTTTTTATAACCAAAAGTGTATTAAATTTTACAACGTATTTCAAACAAATCTTGTTTGTTTGAAAATTTTCAATCACTCAATCGAGCAAGTAGTAGGAGTTCAGAAATTAAAATATGTGTATATATATACATAATTCCAACAACAATAATCTCTCAGACATGGAAGTTGAGATGTAATAACATTTCAAAATAAATTTGGAAATCGAAGCAAATTGTATTTTTTTTTAAGAGTCATTCCTTGAAATTTGAATTAACATTCATATTTTTTCCCCTCTAAAAATGAATGAAGCTGACATTTGGTACTTCTTTTTTTTATTTTTGGGAATATGTATAAATGTGAAAAATAACAATACCACTGTTTTACTATATACCCTCAGATTGGATACAATATGATATCTTGCACCCAAAGAATAGAATAAGATATGCAATAAGGATCTTATCAAAAAGGTTATTCTAAAGGAGTAAAGCATCCTTATTGACGATATAATTATTGTTACTAACTTATTCTTGTTAATGATACAATATGATATCTTGCGCCCAAAGAATAGAATAAGATATGCAATAAGGATATCTTATCAAAAAGGTTATTCTAAAGGAGTAAAGCATCCTTATTGACGATATAATTATTGTTACTAACTTATCCTTGTTAAGGATACAATATGATATCTTGCGCTCAAAGAATAGAATAAGATATGCAATAAGGATATCTTATCAAAAAGGTTATTCTAAAGGAGTGAAGCATCCTTATTGACGGAATAATTATTGTTACTAACTTATTTTTGTTAATGACAGAAAACTTATATTCTTTATTTTAAAGTCATTATTTTTCCTTGCTTTACCTCTATTGCGTTCTTTTTTAAAAAGTATTTGTTGCTTGAAACGCATGGATATGAATTTAAATAAGACAAGGCTGCTTTCCGAAATAATAATAACTTCATGCTCCCCTCCTTCAAAAAAAACTTTCCTTTGGTACCTTTGATAAAGATGCTTTACGCTATTTGTATAAATATTGTTAAAAAGAAAGATTTCCTTTAAGAATTCTAAATTTTCTGCGATTGAGATTTTTGTTAAAAGCTCATTAACGTAATTCATAAACAAATACCGCATTCTTCATATTCATAAACATAATTCATTATTGCAAGAAAAACTATTTTACCTTTTGCTTGTTAGAGCTTATTATGTTTACAAGCAATTGCTGCCTTTGGAATTTATGCTCTTTTTTTTTCTTTTTGACTGTACATGAATTCCAAAAAAAAATTCTTTTTTTTTTTTGGAATATGTGAATATTCTATAACGCCAAAATATGTCATTAAAAACACATAGATTCTTTAAAAAAAATTTTTTTTTTAAATAAATAAATAAATTAAGCTATTTCCGTCGCCAAACGTTAAATATAAGTCTAATACTAAATATAAGATTTAATGAACTTAACTTGAGTCCCATGAATAGGAACTTTGTTATTTGACAAATTTAGATTACATTCCAAATGTTTTCTCAAAGCAGTAATGTTCGACTAAACTTTGCAGTTTTCGGTCGATCTGATTTTTGGAAATTTGGATTTTGGTATACGGTAAAACTACGTTTAGAATTCCCCTAACTTCTTCAGGTCTTAGCGAAGCAAACTCGTTAATATAAGAGCATAACGCATCCATAAATTTACTTTCGTTACCACTTTGTATGGCTTTCTGTATCTTTGAAAAAACGTCAAATGAATCTAAATTTTCCGAACCCTTTTCATTTAATAAATTATTCAATTTCTCAGTTATTTCCAATGCCTGAACAGTTGCATCGTAAGGAGAGTTTACGAACTTCCAGTTAGAAACATATTTCTCGTTAGTAAATTTGCGAATGAATAAGTCTAGCAAGAGCAAAGCACCAGTGACATCAACATTTGCGTGAGTTTTGGATTCCTTAACTTTAGTACCTTCATTCAATTCGTAGGAATCAGCTAAACACTTAGCTCCATTTTCGGTGTAATGTTTTTGGACAAAGTGTCTACTATATTCCATAAACTCTTTGTTTTTACGCTCTACATTTAAACTTCTTTTTTTAAACTTATGCCTATCACAGCGACCTTGCTCAACCAAATAATCAAACATGAAATTCTTTTCCTTCGCTAATTCACATGATCGTGAATCTATAACTTTAAATTTTGTATATGTGCTATCATACTCTTCTAACGTATCGTACTCTAACCATGCTATATCTTTAACACTTTCGGTTTGTTTGTTAAGAATTGCTATAGCAAGGGGTGTATAGCCATCGGCAGTCTTTTTGTAAGCTTTTGCATTGCCATGCTGCATTAAGACAATAACACCTTCCTTCAAACCCGCTTGAGCAGCTAAATGCAGTGGCGTCTGCTGATCAACATCAGGCTCATCTGCAAGGATTTTTCTCTTCGTCCCTTCCCACATTACCAAACCATATACCAGATCATCGTGTTTAAAATAGGCAGCAAAATGAATAGGAGTCCATTTTTTGTCTGAACCAAGAGAGTTTAGATTATCAATACCAAACTTGATGAAATCACTGAACATATTGCTATACCCTTTCATTGCAGCATAGTGAATGGGTGCCATGTTGTTCTTGTCTTTAGCGTATATATCGCATCCTTTCCTGCTCATTAAATTGAAGGCATTTTCTGTCGAATTGAGCAAAACTGCTATATGTAATGCCGTTAGTCCTAAAGTATCTTTGACATTCACATCCACCTTATTACTGTTGATAAACTGTTCAACAAGTTTGGTGCTCAAAGAATTATCTGAAACAGCGATGTGCAGGGGAGTTTTTCCGGATTTTTCTACCTCGTTAGGTTTGATTTTGTCGCTAGCTAATAAATATTCTACGCTTTTTTCGGACTGGAAGCGCACTGCTAAATGTAATGGTGTTACGCCATGCTCATTCGTTTTTGCATTGACATCAGCACCCTGTTTTACTAGCTCGCGCACGAAATCATCTCTTTTGTTCTCAACAGCTATGTGCAAAGGAGTGTAACCTACCGAATCTTTCAGATTAAGGACTTTACGATCGACTTCTAAAATTCGCTTCAACATATTAACTCTTCCTGCTGCAGCTGCTGCGTGAATCACGCTTCTTTTGCTTTCAAAAACGGCAGAGACGCTGGCGCCAAGACTTAAAAGTTTATTCATATTTTGCAATATACTGTTGTCATTGTAAGAGTTTTTAGACGCTAAATCATATAAATCTCTATCAAGATCCCTAAACTGTAACAGAGAACCAGAAATAATGTGAACCACTTCTGGTAGATTGTTAGCAAATTTCCGAAAAACGATCCGGTTTTTCTGGTTCGAATTTCTAATTGATATCTGAGGGTTAGCAATGTCAAGCACTTCTTGAGTTACCCATTTGCTTATTTTGGAATACTTGCCATCTTTTTCGTACTGAAGTGCGTAGCTAACTTCAACTCCTCTTTTCCAATCTAAAAAATTCGTTCTGCTTACTTTCCCACCAGCATTAAAGATAATATCAATTTCATTTATCGGCGTTTCTTCTATGATATGTAAACTCATAATCTGAAACTTTTGTTTTATGGATTTCAAATTATTTGTTTTACCTACTAGGCCATTGTACAATTCTTTTTTAGCGTTTTTGATGTCGTGTTTTTCCTGTACTTCTTTCATAATCTTTAAGACATCGTTAACTATGCCATTGTCAGCTGTTGTAAAAATGTGTTTGAAAGTTGTAAAATAAAATATGAGGCGATCAAGATATTTATTAAATTTAATGAGATCTCGTTCCTGGTAGTAATATTCGGCAACGTAAGTATACTGATCTAATAAAGAAAGTACAATATTTGAATAAGTAACGGTTCCGAAACTGAGAGCAGTTAGAGCATTGTAAGCATTCTGGTGATTTATATCTTTTGGGATCGCGTACTTTTTATCGATGATCGAAAGCAGAGCTTCGTACAACTTGCCACCCAGTTTAACGTAGTTAAATAAAGTATTATCTCCGATCTCCTGCTCTATAAAATTCACATATTGGTCTTTTGGAGCGCTTCCTCTGTTACTTTCACTAAACGTAAAAGATTTATAAGCTTTGTTTATAGTTGAAACCAATTCATTCACATCTTGTCCTTCTATAGAATTTAAAATGTTCTCAAATCCTCGGTCCATCGCTATTCTCATATTTTCTATTTCAGTTAAAGTTTTTTTGACTGAGTTAGAAATGTCTTTTAATATTTCTGCTTGCTGATCTAATTTCCTGTTTATTTCACCTAAAGTTTTATTTAGTCTCACCTCTAATTCATAAAATGGTACATCAGCGCAATCTCTTTCAATGGAAGCGGACCCCAGCATTCCTTTGCCTATCGCCGCGCCAAAACACACTCCAGACAGCGCCAATCCCCATCCGGGCAACAATAGAATGCCAGCAACTGCTGCCGCTGTCCCGAAAAATCCCAGTAAACCATCTGTCCAATTCATGCCACTATCTAATACTTTACATTGAGCCGCTAGTATTTCAAGATCTGTTAATCTTCTAAAACGCATTAGCGTGTTGATGTCATTGAAAGTTACCATGTTCTTGACAGTAGTATTACTTCTTCCAAATCGATCAGCCGTTTTGACATTATGGCTGGATTTCCCAGAAGCTAGTCTTTTGATATCCTGTTTTTGAAATTGCTTTGGAATATTCAAGTCCCGACTAAGCTCTTTACTGTAATGGAAGGACATAATTGTAAGAAAAATATCTATACCTGCTTTTCTTCCTACTGAAGAGTAGAATGCCTTTTCGGAAAAAGCTGGTTATGACTGTTAAATTTATCAATGTATATATATATATTTTCTTTAACAAAGGATGACGATTTGACGAGGAACAAGATGGTAGATTTTAGAAGATAGCAAATTTTCAATGGGTGATAGTTGACATCGCTTAGTCAGTTTTTTTGCATAAAACATCTGTTTAAAATATTTCTTCTAAGGATCACTCAGGATGTAAAAATTTGTTATTTTATTAAGTACTATAACATTCAACAGCTGTTTGGATTGTTCGCCATATCAATAACTTGCAAAAGAATTTTAAATCTGTTACATAGTTCAGTGTTGGGGTATTTCATAATTGTGTAAGAAAGTATTCAAATATTTTTTAACATCTGTGCATTAAAATGTCAGTTTCGAACATTCACTTCATAGACAAAAACATTCTAAACGAAAAAGATTGAAATTGAAATCCTGTGCAAGATCAAAAAGGAACATTTGCGGAGATTTTAATAAAGCAATAATATTAGTTGTTTAATTCTTCTTATTCTGTTTTTTTTTCCGTTTCACATAGCATTTTACTTTTGAGAGAAAACTAATGCTAGTAATTTTACGAGGAAAATATTCTTTTTTTTTTTAAAATTATTTTGCATCAATTTGGATTGTAATACAATAGTCGTTGAACATCAGGTCTAAATAGTTTTATTGTCACGATCAGCTTAGAGTATCCTATTCAAATCTAGATCTATAAGACATTCAGATCTAGAAGGCAGAGAAACCACAAAAGGGAGACATTTGACCAAAAATAGCTTTCTTTGAATTCCTTTTTAAATTTCACTAACTTTTTAAATTTTTTTATGTGTTATGGTTTCGTTGTTAACGTCGCACGGAAGCTAGACTAATGAGCTATAGGCCACTGACAGGGATTCATCCTTAATGATTACATATCCTGAATAATTATCAGTAAGTAATATATCTTAACATATTTCTATAATTTTGTAAAATTTAACTCTCAATTTTTAATAGAAAGCAAATTTTAAATGTAAGACGCTGTGCAAAAAATATTAAGATTGTTCACTCATGTGTCTAAAGCATCTGGGCTTCCAACTTTCTACGAGTTCTTACAAAGCAGTAAAACAAAGAACAATAGTTTTAGAATGTCACTCTATGTATTATTTACCCAGCAATACAGCGAACTAAAAGTTGTTGTTGTCGTTGACCATTAAGGTAAGGTGTGCGATTGTTCTTGTTTTCCAGTGCCGCCATCCATTTCCAGGAATTCGACTTCTGCTGCACCCATACCTCACACCCATTTATAGGGTGGACAAATTCATATATCCACAGATCACAATTTTGACCTAAACAAGGGAACGATTAATCTCCAATTCAGCACCCCCACAGCGATAATTTATTATGGGAGCATGGGGGAATTTGTGACTCAACTGATTTAACGTGCACCAATCATCATTTACGTCACGGGGAGTATTTAGTTGAATGGATTCGAACTCCCGTTCTCAGGAACGAGAATCCAGCTTTCTGCCAACCAGAACCAGAGAACGATTCAGGTTACCATTACTAAATTTTCTTCATTTTATAGTGATTCGTATTTTAATTTAATTTCCGAAGAATGTGTAAGATTTCGCTAATTATGTTATAGTAAAATTGTGATAGAAGTAAAATTTTATGTCTTAGTAGGTAAAATAAATTCAATTTATTTTACAATTTAAATTTACTTAGTAGGTAAAATTGAGATTTGTATATAAAATTAGAATTACTCGTAACACAACAAAATATTTTTTTGAAATACTGTGTAAGTTGCCAGCTGCTAGGAAAAGGTAAATACTAAAGAAACAAAGTTGCCTATTATTTGAAAGAAAAAAAAATAAACAACGATATAAGAAATAAAAACAAACTTTGAATCTACCACTAAAAGTATAATTAAAATGATTATAATTAAACTGTCCTTGTTTCGGGCAGTAGTCCGAGACTAGTAAAGGCAGCTAAAAAAATTTGGGGAAATTCGAAACCTCATGAACGAAGATTTATTTGCTGATAAATAAGAATATTAGTTATTTAAAACAATTATTTTAAATTTCTTGGAAAATACTTTATTCGTTCATTTTTTAATTAAATTGCACGAATTTTTATGAAGCAAATATTACTCTAATTAATAAAAATCATGCAAGCATACGGAAAACTAATGTAATTAGTTATGTTAAGTTTTGAGTGAAGGCAAAAATAGTTCTAGAACATTAAACATACCCGTATTGATACAACCACTTCTTTTATTCACCAATTCCCCTAAAAATTTCACTTTCCTGGTTCTTCCACCAAATTCTTCAATTGAATCGGTATATGGTTTTCAGTTTTGAGCATGATTTCGTTGTGTTTCTCAATACTGTTTCATTGATTTGTTTATTTATTTTTTTACTTTCCCCAGAACGGGTATTCAGCTTGTACTTGATAAATTTGAGTTAAGAGATTTGAATTAAGAGCATAAGGAGATTCGTAATACAATTCAATTCGAATACTAATAAATTCTTGTATTTATTAAAGCTATCTAAAAATACTTTTGATATATATGCTCACAATTTTATGATTTGTAATTATCCATACACATAATTATGATTTATAATTATGATTTAATTGAAGGTAACGAGGAGGCGGATCAGCAAGCCAAAAAGGCCACAAGCTTCAGCCGGGTGGGAACGATGCTCCCAGTGGAAAGAACATTCATTATTAGATACATCAAGCAAGCCACAATGAATAAATGGAAAATTGATTGGAGTGAATCAACAAAGGACAGGCAGACATATAATTTCTTTAAAGATCCCACACTAACTCAGTCAAACTTCTACTTAAACCAATTCTTAACGGGCCACGGAGTTTTCGGAATATATCAGCAGAAATTCTTCAATAAACGAGCAAATTGCAAATTTTGTGGCAGAGTACAAGACATTGACCACCTCATAAAATTTTGTCCCAAATTCCAGAGGATCCGTGGCAGAAAATGGGATCAATACACTCAACATCAACTTTATGCTGATATTGACTGCAGGGAGAAAATCATCGAAATTCTTAAATATACCCTCGATGATCTGCTTGCCCCTGCGAGCACACCTGACTAATTTTATCTGGTTTTATTTTTAAACTTTCGGCTTTTAGGTTTTCTGGTTTTAAATTTCTGCTTTTAGGATTTTACTCCCGCACTTGCCGTTTCCATGACTTTATTCTCCCCTTAAACTGGCATCTTCCTTATACATAGGACATTCAAAATGAAATCTTGCTCTTGGTCAAGTTCAGCACCCTCTGTCTTACCTGGGGTCATCTTTGAATGTTATCACCTCAGTGAAACTTTGGTTTACCTTAGAACATTTTAATCTTAGAGGCACTTAGCCTTGAAAGGGAGACACTTGAACTTTTAGTCGACTATTTTATTTATTCTATTGGGCTTATTTTAGTCCTTTTATTTTTAATGTGATTTTTCATATTTTTCCATTTGATGTTTTACTTGACCTTATTTTTATATGTTTTTACCTGTATTTTTGACACTTTTATTGTCGGTTGATTTTATCCACTTTGATGTTTTAAGCACTTTTAATCTTTATTCTGTTTTATTTTTATTTTACTTTTTCGATTTTGGGATTTATCCTATGTGTTTTAATCTTTTTAATTTAGTACTTTTACTTTTCTGTAGTTTGGTAGTGTTTAGTCACGTGCGAACGGGTGAAACCCTTATCCGCAAACTCCTTCGGGGGTAGGTCGGTTACTATTGGTCTTATAATTATCATTGTACTAATTTGATGTTGTTGTTTACCTTATATTCACCTGAAATCCATACTATTTATATTAAAAAATATTATACTGAAAAGCAAAAAAATATTTTAAACAAATAAACAAAAATATAAGAATTAAATTTAAAGCAAACTAAATTTCAATATATGTGTTACCATTAAAAGACCAATGACGAAGCTATTTTATTTTCTGTACAAAACTTTAATATTTGACTTGAGAAATAATAACATGAGAAATATACTAGAACTGATTTATAATTGATTTACGTTTTGTGAACAGTACAGAAAAATGATATTGGGGAGGAGCTACAAAAAGACGTAATAGAAGGCGTTGCCGAGAAATCCAATCAGAGAGCTCATAGTCTCTTTTCACAATCTGTAGTTGTATGGATGGTGTTTTCTAGAGTAGGGAACGCTGCAAGCTCCATACCGCCTATACTTCCAGGTTACTGCTTCCGTTGCATTTTAAAGCCATTTAGCTCTCAACGTGATCATTGTGTTTTGAGATTCGTGCAAACATGGTATTTGATTACTTATTACTTGTGTTTACAATGCTAACAACACTTGTGTTTGCAAAGCTAAAGGTGTCAACACTAACGTAAGATGGTGCACAGCTTGCAACAAGAACAAACAGTAATAAACAAATGGAAAAAAGCCAAATCAGGAGTGCCAAAAAAGCAAGTTATTCAAAATCTAGCAACCATGTCACCTTTTTAACAATATATCTATTAATAAATTAAGCAAATTTTCACTTCAAACTCACCACAATTACTTAATAACATTAATTTCTTATGAAATACGGCAGATTTGAGCTCAAAAATTTTCTGATTTACTTNGCCTGAATTTGTCTTGATCGGTTCCTGAAAATATCGCCTCGCAGAATAAGCTGTAGTAAGCAGTTGCAAACTTTCTAACCGGAACTGGGGCAGGTATATTGAGGTAGAGATTATTATTGTTTATATTTATAATGAAAACACCATCCATAGGTTGGCTACATGCGACCACCGATGTGCATTTTTCGCCACCTTGGCTATCTTATACCATAGTGGGATTTCTTGGAAGTATAGCGGAATCCTTGTATGAGAGCGATCAATAGTCTTTTATGAGATGTTATAGTGGTAGATTGAAGATGGAGAGCTATATCTGAAATTTTAAAAAAGAAATTGGAAGCAAAACATAAAATTGAAAACAAAAAATTTGAAACAATTAACCATTTCTTGCTCACAAATACGTGCCAGCATGAAAAGCTGTCAATTAAGGTAAAAAGATAAAACTGGTAACCAAACTAGTACTTTAAAAATTTATTAAAATCTTGTCATTTTCATAATTAAAATGAACTTATTAATAAAAGCAAGGCTAATTACCTACTAACTTTCCTATTATTTAATATTTACAGTAAAAAGTATGCACATTCCACCATAAATATTAAAATAAAGAATTATATAATTATTAAAATAAGAAATTTTATTGGGGGAAAAAACAGAATCATAACTCTGTCTGCATCAAATGAGAAAATGGTACTCATATTTAAATTGCTAAAATTTATAATCTAGGTTTTTAACCTACGTTACATAATGTCTTGAACATGAAATAAATATATGTAAATGAAGCAATTGTAATTGTAATTTAAACTATGAAATGTATAAGGTCCTCCTTTAACAAATTTTTCTGCACAGCGGAATACTGCTCAGTAAATCACTATATTTTGAGATTTTTAACTTTGAAATTCCCTCATCGATTTTCTTCCAGTGAAATAACAAGAAAAAACAGAAGGTGGAAAATTTCTAACTCGATTTGCCCTCTAATCACGCGATTTCATTCTCAAGACATCTATCCTGCAGTGCTCGCTCTACATGCATTACACCTCTTTCAAACCAGTTGAGTTAAGTGCTTTGTTGGTTAGCAGAGTGGTGAAAGGAAAGATTAAATTTCGAGAAATTAGGTGGACTGATGACTTTTAGAACAGCGGAAGTTGAACAATGAGAAAAATATTTTTTTAAATAGATGTGTGATAAAAAATGGTCTCTGTAATTCCACTTTAATGCGTTCAAAATTTTTCAACGATACCATAATTATACTTCATTAATTCTATAATTTCTTTTTAACTTTATTAATCATCTGTGGAATTAAAGCCAACACCAAGGAGAATCAATACCAATTACAGAAAGAAAATCGCTCGACTGTTTCGACTTTAAACCATTTATGCCTTATTGTAGGGTTGTTCTGACAATTTGGAAAATTCGTTCTTAAATGGTTCATCATAGCGTTGCTATTTTAAAGTTTGTTGCACTTCGATCGCCTCAATTAAAATGAACAAAAATAAATTTGGATAAGATTTCCCAGGCTAAGAATGGTTCACAATTTCTATCACTGTGTAGGGCGGTATCCGGACAGTATCTTTTCTCTTCGTCTACCACAGCTTAAGCAGAGGTACAATTCGCTAAAGATTGAGCACTTTATTGCATTGTATTTTTTCCGATCGTATTTTAGTCGTTCTTAAACCACTTTAATGTAATGTTCGGGAGGTTTCAGAGGAGGTAAATTTTACGCATGATTGTAGAGCGTGGTGCGGAGAGTATGTGATTTCTACTACTATAATCTGTCTGTTTGTGGTACTGTATGTAGTGCACGTACCAACCAGTAATTTTTTCGTATATCATTGACGATGAATTCCAACAGTCGCTTCTAGCCCATTAGTGTAGCTCCAGTGCAATGTAAAACTATAAAAACCTTGAAACTATAATGCAAATTAGTGAAATTTTAAAAAGGATTCTAAAAAATCGATCTCTGTTCAGTTGTCTCCCTTTTGAAGTTTTTCTACCTTAGTTTGCTAGATTAGGGCAACGAAGATGAATATTGAAATTTTTACGGCCATTCATATAGGTTGCACAACGCTGATAATAACAACGCCAATATTTAGACCAGCTATTCATTGGCTGTAAACAGTGCCTGAGTTATCATAAGGCCTCAGAGGAGCAGACCTAGGCCTCCCACATTTCTGAGGCCCATTCTTTACGTATTGTCTGTTATAATTATGAGTAAACAAAAATGGAAATTAATATATGCTCCACTATACCAATCTATCGTTATTTAGCTATGGTATAAATCATTTCAAAGCACTTCATAATTTAGCATGAAACTTTGGTAATTAAAGTAACGATAAGCCCCTGACAGTTTTGTGCTTAAGGCCCTCGCATTTTTATCGTGAGGCTCGGACGGTAAAAATATTCCGTTAAATTCTAAATTGGGGTCAAATAATAGGACCAACTTGTTCTGATCATGCACAGAATTCTGGATTTGAGTGTTAGAGCATATAGTTTTCATTATATTGTTTAAAACTCTTGCATTATACTTTCTTGTTAACAATACAACTAAAGATAGTACACTCTTGAAGTACGTAAAATTGTCTTTAGATTTTGGCTTTAGCATTTGATTATGTTTTGACTCTAAGATTGCTAGCTACAAATTCAAAGTTATCCTTATCATTGGTGTAACTCCCATGAGAGAGGTTATTAAATACGGTGATATGATCTCAGATGTCGGGGTTTCAATCATAACAAACGCCTTTTAACATTATATATATTTAATAACAAAAGGATGATGATAATGGTACAGTGTCATGGAGGAAACTGATTAGAAAACTAATGATTTTACATTACTGCGCAGAACGCCATCTATTGAGGTTTAGAAATTATAATTAATATGGAGAAATATTATTAACAGAGGTCATGCAATGTATATCCTTTCTCATGGTAATTTGAGGGCCTGATTAAGATTAAGAGATTCTTGGATCAATTATTTACGGCTGCTAACGAACCTCCCTCAGCCACTGATCAACTCCCTCCACATAGGTGAGTATGGACAGTGGGCTTGTTACAAGCCCACTGTCGAATGCCCCGCACTCAGGCGCCCAATTTAAGGGGCGCCAAATTCAACTATTCGAAAAAAATCAAATTATAGCAAATTATTAAAAATCAAATTATAGCAAAGCTGTAAACTTTGATTACAGGAAGAAACAGTAAACTAATATAAGAAGTAGCTTCTACACTTTGCTTCTACACTGGAATTTACATGCAAAAAATCTGTTGTCGGCACTCGGCTTACGGGCGGCGGCGTATCTTCAAAGGATGCCGCTCGCCTTTGGCGGCTCGCTCGACAAATAATATACATGTTATTGTTTTTTATGCATTTATCGGCGGCGTCGCGGCGTGTGCCTCAGAGAGGTCGAAGGTGCAAAAAATATTATTTTCTGAAAAGTTCTCCAAAATAAACTTTTTTTCGGCTCCAGATTTTTCCACCAGATTTTAGCGGTGATATAAAACAATGATTAACTCAATTCACTCAGTTGAGTGAATTGATTTATATTAGATTATTTTTTAATTTCCGAATGGACGTGTTTTATTTATGACCTATATTGTACGTTAATAGTCTATTTTATTTGATGTCGAAAATAAATTTTTTGTCACATTTTTTCGTTGTATTATTTTATTACGCCCATTTTCATAATCAAACACATACACTAAAGTGACTTTAGTCTTTAAGGAAACTATTCAGTTTAAACCTCAAACTAAAAATGATTATGAGAATTGGCCTTATCATCAAAATTTAAGCATAGTATATAGGGGCGCACAAAATTATTCTTGCACGCAGGCGTTCGCCACCCCAGGAACGGCACTGGGCTTGTAACTATCTTACTCGTCGGCAGTTGGCAGCACCACGCTACTTTACCTCATCTCAAAGGTTCATCATTATACTATAAGCAAATTGCTTGGGTCTCAAACAACGAAAAAATGCTTTGGAATTATGACATCACTCACAGCCTCTTAATCATCTGGCTTGTCAATAGTCATTCTTGTTCATTGAAGGGTGAATTGATGACGGCTTCTATATTAAGCTTCCTAACTGATCCGAATTGAGGTGCACGTAGTTATCAATGCTGCTTAGAGCATCCGGTTACTGACCCAGAGGTTCTTTGGTTCACTCCCTACCGGAGGCCAAGGAATTTCTTTGGCTCACTCCTTCCACATTTGGTACATATTTTGTCTCACGCTCCTCTATAACTAGAAGTAATTTGGAAGAATTTAAAAAAAAAAATTTTTTTTTGTCAAAATTATATAATATTTAGAGTCTGGATCATATGGTGAAACACAATAATTAACCCTGTTTGAATATTTTATAATGTTACAATGCATAATTTGTTTTAATTGGTTTTATATTAAATGTGTTATGAGCACAAAATAATAATAATAATAAATAACAACGAACTCTTGGAAAATCAATAACATTTGAAAGAAATATGTAAATGCTTATCGATTGTATTTTAAATATAAAAGTTCCCTCTTGACCTCCTTCCAATTTCCTTGTTAGTGCCCATGAAAAAATAAATTAAATACCAACTACGAAAACAAACTAAGACCTCTCTTACAGCTTTACTAATTGTTCACTAGGTAGCGCGTTTAATTTTCATAGAAAACCTTCATGCTTTTTATGATCCTAAAGTTAAGAAGCAGTTGAAAAAGTGCGAACTCTTCATAATGATTTCGGAAGAGATACGGTAAAAACTGAAAAACCCAGTGCAACGGCAGCGCAGAGTTATCCGAATTTTTTCATCGATCCAGACGCATTTTCGCTTTCTGAGCCCACATAATCTGTCAACCAATAGGAAACTAGAATTGTGTGATGGACACAAAAACTGTGCTGCGGAAGCTTTTACCTTTTTAGGATAGCTTACAAATATCGCCCACTTGCAAACCTGCGTAAACAGTGTTACATATGACAAATAAATGAAAGTTAGATTATTGTACATTTATTATTTTAAATGTAGAGTGTTATTTATTTGATTGCTTCTTTGTAAATTAATATTTAAGTGATCCGTAATCGAAGAAAGTGAAAGAAAAGACGGAATTGAATATATGTTATGTAAAAGGTGTGTCCTTTGAGTATGAAACATTAGGGCGCTTGTGAAATCTGATTCCTCTTCAATTTATCTATTGTAGAGCATTACTGTTTACACTCTCATTGACTATATCTTAATAGATATTCATATCTGTTTAGTTTATTGAAGATAAGCTGTAAGTAAATTTCTTAATCATTTGTGAATTTGCATTCATTCATTTAAGGTAAATTGGCAACTATTCTTATTGTCTTCTGACGTCTCATGCGTAATTTTGTACTGGACACATGAAAACTTCAGGATATATTTTATTAAATTTTAGACGTGTTTACGCGGTTTGTAAATAAGTCTTAAGTTACTTTCGCATGTCGATCTCGAAGTTAAATTTAATGTGATCATTAGTTATTTATGTCTCCCTTCTGTCTTTTAAATTATCTAAAATTTTATTTAATTTTGTTTTAATTATATTTGTTGCAATTTATATTTTGTACTTTTATATTAATGTGTAAATTTACTTGAAACCATGGACATCAAATGCTAATCAAAAGTGTACAACTACAAACTAAAAGAATTACATTTATGTACTTGCATAAATATTATTATTTTTACTTTCAATAGTACATTGCTTGTAATGTTTGATTTAAATGTTAATTACTACATTTCTTAATGCAATTTAACATATGTTGATCAGAAAAGATCTTTTATTGATGATAATTTGAATGTCGACCACTATATGCTTACAAAACAGCAGAGCTGGTAGTTCTTTAATTGTAAAGCTGCTATAAGAAGGACATTCTGTTAATACAAAGAAAACTTTAATTTTATATTGTGTTATGATAAGAGGATGTTTAATTTTACAGTTTATAATAGTTATATGCTACTATTTATTAGCACATTGTCAAATGTTTGTGTTATTTTATAGGTTTAATGTTTAAAATATACACCAAAAAATTTTACCTGCATTGTGTTTTCTTGAATATCATCCTAAGTTTTTGGCAGAGTTTCTGGTTTTTTAGCATATTGCTAGAGAAACTTAATTCTTAAATGAAGAAAAATAAAGAAAGACTGATTTGTCCTCAGGAAGTAGTGAATGATTTATTGTGTCTTCATAATGAAATTACTCTGAAACGTTTTAAAAAGAGTTGGTTATAATGTTGGAGCACACAATTAAAGAAAATTAGATAAAATTCATGTAAATAAATTTTTGTCTTATAACGGTAAAATTGTTTTTCAGTTTTTTTAAACAACTGTTTTATTCAAAATATGATATATTAATATTTTATATCAGTTAAATTATTTTGTGAAATATTCATTGAGTCAATGTGTCAAGATATTCTGATCAAAGAAAAACATTTTTGAAGCATTTTCTTTTTTTGTACAATATAAAGTTTAAAATATTTATTGTGAGTAACTGAAAACAAGGAGTTAATATTTTAAAAATTAGCCCACATTAATCATTGGAATTTTTTGTTTTGTTTATTTTGACCATAAAAGTTAGTCACTTGTTAAATTGCAGTCAACTCTGTTTATTGTGTGCAGATAAAATTTTAATGGAAATTACAAATAATTATAAAATTTAATTAATTTTATTAATATTAAAATTTAAATGTAAAATATTCAAAAACACTACTTAGTACTAACTAGTAGTATTTCAAGTTCTGTTTTTTAATTTTTATAGATTGTTGAAAATTGAGTATTTTTATGAGTTAATTTTTGAAATTTCAGAAAATCATTTATTTTAATGTGATGTATTGCATCTTGTTACTGCCAGTTTCAACATTATAATCATAATTAAGTTTATATAAATGTAATTTTTTGCAACAAATATAGCAAGAATTTAACAAAATTCTCTTATATTTTCTCCAAAATTCCAAAAACAAGACCCTGCAAAACAAATCTTGAATTGACCCTTGTTATTAGTTATTGTCATAATGTTCCATTTTAAAATGTTTTTGATTACGTGTTTTCCATTGAGAAGGATATTTTTGACATGTTAATAAATAACTTGTTTTTACAAATATCAAGTTGTGGTAAGGGAAATGATGAATCATTTCCTGTAAAGTAATGATTCATTTGTCCTTTCTTATTTTTAACTGACTTGAACTTAAAAATGCCTTCTAAAGCTTTTCTCTTTAAGAATTTCTTTTCAGTAAATAATAGAGTAAGTTGTGTACTAAATTATTTTCTCTTAATTTCCTTAAAATTATTTTTGATGAAACTATACAAATAAATGAGCACCAAAGGGGATGAGTGTTAAGTTAATGTTTATTTATTTATTTTTTACTGACAAGGGGAGAGGTGAAGTATTAATCTTCCTACTACATAAGACACTAAAATTTCCTACATGTAAAATTTTTCTTTGAAAACTATTAAATTTTAAGTAAAAGTTAAATTTGAAAAGAATACAAAAATTTTAAAAACATTTCTTCCAGGAGTTGGACCATAAAAGGAAAACACAAAGAATTTATAAAAAATATTCTACTGAGATTTTTTTTTTTAAATGAATCTAAATAAGTATTTTGTTTTATGCATATAAGTTACCTTTTCTATTTGAATTTAATCCTTAAATTAGATTGCTATTGTAAAAGTCAAAACAAAAACAAGAGGTAGATGCAACAACTTTCTATTCTTATTAGCATGGGAGAGGATTTTAGTATTTTTACTGATTAGTAGGAGAGGATTTGTGGTTTGAATATTTTTACTGATTAGCAGAAGAGGATTTGTGTATTTTTACTGATTAGCAGAAGAGGATTTGTATATTTTTACTGATTAGCAGGAGAGGATTTGTATATTTTTACTGATTAGCAGGAGAGGATTTCTGATTTGTGTATTATTACTGATTAGCAGGAGAGGATTTGTATGATTTACTGAATAGCAGGAGAGGATTTGTGTATTTTTACTGATTAGCAAGGGAGGATTCTAAATTTGTCATAAAACATGCTTAGACAATATTTAAATGTCCCTTTATATAAAATATTTTTTTCTTCAGTCTTCTGGATCTATAAAAGATGATAGCTGATGGCTATCTTGTGGGAGATGGCTCCTGGGAATTACATGTTCTGGTCACAGACCTTCAAGTCGAAAGGACTCTCAGGGTTAAAGGTGACCTTCATATTGGAGGCCTTATGTTAAATCTAGTTGAGGAATTAGGTAAGAACATTACAGATTTTTCTAAAATTTAATTTTTTTCCCAGATAGTTGTGGTTAATGTTTATAACTACTGTAAATGATGTTTAATGTATACAATGCTCAAAGTTAATGGTGGCCCATTGTTCCAGGGCCTGTAAATTTTACTTGTACTTTTCTAAGATAAATTATCAGTGGTCTTCTAGACCAGTAATTGATGTGAAGTGATTATAAGTTGTTTTGGTCACAAAATTACATATTTTATAATTGTTAACATTTTACATATTATAATTTTTCATTTCACACTAAACATTCTCTCTATTGTTTCAATTGTAGAAAGATATTACACTTTCTTGCTATCGTATCAAGTCCATCAAAGTTGATTATGCGTATTTTCTTATAGCAAAAAGTGCTTAAAACACTGACCATGCTTCGCAAAATGATGAATGTTTAGAACGGAACTGTTTTGCAGATGTTCCTGCAGAACAGTTTAAGTCTAATCTAAACTAAATTTAAGATGCTGTTAATAATTTTAGTTTCATTATGTAGGCATTTATCTCAGAATATTTGATATTTAAGTTTTTCTTTTTGTGCAATTTTTGTTTAAAAAATAAAATTATTCATGAGTTAAAAGAAAAATAGTTGTTTAACTAGTGGGTGTTGCGCTTGATAATACTTGCTGAACATTTCTTACTATCAAGTCTTGTTGGAGAGCTTCTGGGAAATAATTTTTAACTAATTCTCATATGATATAAATAAAAAAATTTCTCTACTGTGATCTACGCCAAAAGAATCTCAAAATTTTGGTAACTTCAAATCAAGTGTCAGCAAAGTAGCTAAATTTTTAGAGAATATTTCCTTATTTAGTTAAACGCTATATTACTATCTCTTTATAATTATATTACTATATGTTGTCAACTATGCAATGTACCTATGTGCTTACTATCTATACCTTGAAATATGCTTCATTCTCTTTATTGTGTCAATATTAAAATTTGTTGATTTTGTTGTCTCATTCTATCAACTTTTAGATGTAGCTATTGATTGGTCAGATCATGCTCTCTGGTGGCCAAAAAGGAATACATGGCTATGTCGTACAAGATCTACGTTGGACCAGTGTGGCATACAGGCTGATGCTCTTCTGCATTTTACTCCAATGCATAAATATTTGAAATTGCAGTTGCCGGATTTAAGGTTTATTGACATTAAAGCTGATTTTTCAGCAAAAACATTTACTGCTGTGAAGAAACTTTGCAAAGAGCTAGGTAAATTGAAAGTTATTATTAATACTTAACTAACAGTGCTATTATATTTTTCTTGAGGAAATGTTTTTAAAATTAGATCTTGATATTGTATGTACTTGGGTGGCTTAATTTTTGAAAATTATGCCTTTTTGTATATTTTTTTTCTATTTTACTTGATTACTTTCTTAAAATTGATTTCTTTTTCAAATGGCTAATTTTTATTGGATTATTCTTTGAAATAATGCATTTGAAAATTAACTACTTATTTTTGGTTTGTTACTTATAAATCTTTTCTGAAATGCTTTTTTTTACCGTGTTTAATAATTTGCATGACAAAAATATGACCTGTGATATACAGTTATTAATAATGACCATGGATGTAAATTAAAGCAATTATTTTTCTAAAAGTTTTCAATTTTTAGTAATTGTTGGAAATGAAATTTGGTAAGTACAATAAATTGTCCAGTATACCCTGAATTATTGTTTTTTTAAGACTGAAGAATTTCCATATATATTTGCTTAACAATTTTGTACTAGTTGCACTTTTTTGAAACTACGCATTGATTCAGACACCAGCATAAGTGGTGGCTATTGTGTTTGTTAATTCTTAACAATGTATGGAGGAAATTAATACATGCACTAGAGTGAATAGTTTGTGAGAATTTATCACGTTAACTGATCATTATTAATAATTACACAACTTCATTGTAATGTTATGTTTATTTTTTATAATTACACAAAATAATGGTTATTATTAACAAGATTTATTACTTTGACTGTATCAAGGACACAAGATTTACAGAGATATTATATTTTTTATAGGGATGAGGCACCCAGAAGAGCTTTCACTTTGTCGTCCACTCACTTCGGATCATTTGAAGAGGAATTATGCGAGAGGTGTAGGTTGCACACCTCGTCAGCGTAGTAAGGAACCTACTGCGGGAATGAATCTCAGCCAAAACAATAATAACAAGTCAGATGGTTTTCTAACTCCAGACACATCTGGATCTTCTGGTGCTCCATTGAACACAGTAATGTAACACTTTTAAGTACATTGGATTCCACTTAAATGAAATTAACCATAAAGTAGATAAAAAGCAGTTTATCTGATTTATTCAAATCAGTTATTCTTTGCTTTAAATTTTTTTATGTATATACAATATACTGTCACATAGGAGACAGTGATTTACATATTTTTATAAAATAATTATTATTTGTATTTACTTTTTGTTCAGTACTCAAAAGAGATTATTTTATATTGCTTAGCATTAATTTGATATTAAGTCAAAAGTATTTCTGAAATAAAGCAACCAGAATTAAAATTTAAATCTGTTCAAATAAATCGGAGTGATGGAAACAGGGTCCTTACACACCGGGAATAGCCAGGAAAAAGGTAAAGTTATCAGGGATAAACGTGATTTTACCTTGAAATCGGGAATTGTGAGGGAATTTGGCATCCTATTAAATTGCGAGATTTCATTCTCCCTTTTCACCCGTAATTTGTACGTGCCCAATAGAGAATTAAAAAATCTGATATTTTTATTTTTATCCACTTATGTTTCTTAATTTTTGTTATCCTTCATTTATTATGACAAATTAGTGATTTATAATTTCAGATGATATTTCAACTATTACAAATAAAGCATTTTATCATCTACTATGTTTATTTATTTGATATCTATTAAAGAAAAATATTTTTTAATTAAATGAATTCTTATTCCTCAGAGGTGCGATATCATTAGCAAATTCTGCCTGATGTGGAGTCGCATCGGCTTTTATTATATTTTTTTCTGTTGTTTCTTGTTGGTAAGGAAATTAAAAGCCGAAGATTGTTTATACTTTGGCAGAAAATTATTTATTACTGAAAGCAGATGATATTTTATAGCAAATTGCTAATTCCTCTTCTTATCAGTGATATATTTCTGATTCTACTTTGTTTTGGATATACAAATCTTTAAATATCGAAAATTGAAATTTCATTAAAATGCGCCTAAGCTCTTCTTTAAAATAAATTTTAAGGTACTTTGGTATTAGTGCAGATTTGCTCAATGAAATTGTTTAAACTTATATACTTTCATTCTTACAATTTTAATAACTAGGATTTTTGTTTTCAGTCATGGACTACGACTGATGGCCGAAATTATTCACCCTCTACTGCTATGTTTAATGGTTCATCATCTTTTATGAATTACTCTTCTGATTTTAACACTTCTTCCAATGATCTACCTTTGGCTCATAGTCCTAAGAGTCCTTCTGAAGAAGCAAGGCAATGTGTTTTGCGCCCTAAATCTCTGGCTGAAAGGGCTCGTCTCAATGCTGGGTTTGTCTCAATATTTTCCTTACCTTTTTGATTAGATTGAATTTATCAGGGGCTCAAAAATTTTATTGCCAAACTGGCCTAAGAAGATGTAAAAACTCTGAGTTCCTAATATATCCGACTGAACAAATAAATATTCAATAGAAGTATTGATTAAGGTCCTCTCAATTTTTAACAGAAATCAAGATGAAAAATGAGACGAATAAACGGCAGTCAAAGGGGAGACAAACGAAAATCAATTATATTTTTAAGACCTAAATGTTATATAAATGAGAATTTAGTATACAAAGTTACCATTTACTTTTTTATTACCCTAGAGATGCTTGTTTTTTTTTTTTTTTTTTTTTTTTTTTTTTTTTTTAAAAAACCCGTTTAATCTTATCTTAGAGCATAAAAATATTATCTGAAAGTTTATAACATCGGTAGTAAAATGGGATACAAACGAAAATATAAGGTCAGAAAAAGAGGAGACAAAAAATAATCGATTATATTTTTGAGATCTTCATATTATAAAACTGAATTATATAAATAAGAATTTAGTAAGCAAAGTTAGCATTTATTTTTTTCATTTTCCTAAATATATATAGTTATATTTGATCTTCTTTTCTTTTTTTTTGCAAAATATTAAACACTTTTTCTTCACTTATAGATATATATGAGGTGACAATATTGAACTATATGAAATAAAATGCAAATTATTTAAAAATTATGTGGCAGTGAAAGAGGAGAAAAAAAGATAATTGATTATATTTTTAAGACCTAAATATTGTCTAGGAAGGTACTTAGAAGTTAATCATTGATCTCTTTTACTTTAAAGTTGCAACTGATTATGTATTATTGAGGGGAATGTTTGTGAATCTTGGATTAAATCATATTTTATGCAGAAAAAGAACATAAATCAAAGTACTATGGTCACAGGCGGGTAAATCTCAGGCATCAGGTTGTGGACTTACTTTTTCAACATGTTCTATTATTTGTTATAAGCAGGAAAAATCTTTAAAAAAAATAGTCAAAATGATCGTTTTTGCTTTATCCTATTAAAGTTTGTCACATAGGTAACAATATTGACTTACCTACTGCTTAAGTGTTTATTTAAGTGTATGTTTTATAAAGTTATCGAAATTATGTTTTCTTAAAATTTTTCTGAATTTGATCTTGTCATTGAAGAGTTAACTGCATTTCTGCGGAAAAAAAAAATAACCTATGACTTACATCACTAAAATAGTCAAATGTACGAGAAACTTTTTATTTTATTTCGAAGCTAATGTGATAAAATTGCAATTATTCTAGAAGCTGGGTCCTAGCTTCTAAAATTTTATTATTTTTCTCATTCTCCCAAAGTAGGGTAATAATTGTCGACAAATCTTTTTGTTTTATTGATAGAAATGACTAATTTCAGTAAAATCAATTTATCCATAAGCATCAACTTTGATTTTTTTTTTTTTTTTTTTTTTAATTGTAAACTCTTGGCAAGGAAGAAAATTTTTTTGCTTTGTTTTAGGCCTATTATATCAATATGATTCTATTTATATCACAGTGCTATACATTTAAAAATTATTAAAAGTTTACTGTTTAGAAGAACTTGTCTAATATGATGTAATCTAATAGGGAATGCTTTTTATTTACACCTCACACTTTCAAACTAGTTTAGAAATGTACTATTTATACCAAATGTTTCAGAAGTTAAGACAAATTGTTTCTATCTTTAAATTATACTTTATTTAAAAATCAATTCAATTTCGATAAAATTTATTTATGCAGTATAAAACATTAAATACTTTAAGCTTCAAATTGTTAAGAGTTTCAATAGAAATAATTTTTGATAAAATGTCCTCTATGTAATATCTCTAGATATCTTTGCCAGTAGTTTACGAGGCTCTTTTATAAAATGTATCTGTTGAAGATGACCTTCAACAATTTTAATGTGTGCTTCTAAGTCTACTTATTTAATCATTAATTAAATAAACATTAATGCTAAAGCAATTGGATAGTCTCCAACAGATCTAATTTAGAAATGAGTCTACTGGAAGTATATTTAAAAAGCAAACTTCAATCTTATGTAGTTTTTAGTTTTCTTTTTTTGCTAAAGTTTATTTTCTTTTCATAAAATATTTTTTATGGTACTGGGGTGTTAATCACTTTAATTTCTGTCGAGTCTGAATAATAACAACAATTTCTTTTATATAGGTATCTTTTTATGTGTGTTTACTTAGTTTGATGTTATCTCAGATTCTCTTTAAAATATACATGTTTCTTAATTTTTACTAAAAATTTGTAAATTTTGGATTAAAAAAGTTTTTACATTAAATATTTTTATTTGTTGATTGAAAAACTTTTTTGTATAACAGAAATACATTCTAAAAGCAAAATAAATAGTCAATGGTATTTTAAAAAATTGTTTTTCCAGCCATTTTTTATTTCATTTACAATTTTTTTTTATAAAAGTGTTTTAGCCCTTTAAAAAGTGAATTATCTTACCAATGAAAAAAAATTTACTTCTAAAAAAAATTGCTCTCATGCAAGAATCTGTGATTAACCTAAATGTATTCTAATCTCCCTTAGAAGTGCCATTAAAGTTTAATACAATAAATATGTTCTGTAATAATCCTGATTTAATGTTAAAATCTTTTCACTTTTTTTTATTTGTTTTAAATTTATTTCAGATGGTTAGATTCTTCATTATCTATAATGGAACAGGATATTAGAGAGTTCGATTGCCTTTTACTTCGATTCAAGTTTTATTCTTTCTACGACTTAAACCCTAAGGTTTGTTTCAATTATATGTTTGTACTGATTACTTTTAATGTTTGCATTTCTTGTTAGTTGTGTAAAAATATCTTATTATTTATACATTAAGTGCTTAAAGCTGTATGCTGTATCTATAATATTCTCTATCCTCATAATTTTTGGTTTGTATTATTTATTTTATTTTTCAAAATGATAGGTTATGCATAGCTAATTTATAAACTGATTATGTGTTTTATACTATTTTGTACTACAGTACAGAACCCGTTATCCGGAAATCAGAAAACCGGAAAACCAAAAAACCGGAAGGAAATTCAATAAGTTTTCCCGCCATTTAAAAAAAAAAAAATTTTTTTTTCCTCATAAGATTTTAGGATTTTTCTTTCTTTTTAGAAAGATGTTTACCTTACCATCATTTTGGAAATAATCATTACTGTATTACTTCATCGTTTTTTCTTCTTTTTAAGATTATTTCCAAATATATATATTTTTTTTAGTTGAGTTTAACAATAAAAAAACCGCTTTTCGTAGTGATTCAGAAAACCGGAAAAATCAGTTATCCGGAATAGTGATGGTCCCAATCGTTCCGGATAATCGGTTCCCTACTGTATTTTACATAACATTTGTTATCTATTTTTTAATTAAAAAAAAATTTGGGATTTAGTTCTTACATTTTCATGGCAAATTAATGTTATTTTTAAATAGTTTTGTGTGAAATTTTGATTAATTATTTAGCTATATGAGAATTCTATCTTTTAGAATTTCATCCTAGTTTGCATCTTCCTTTTTAAATTATAATTTTTATGTAAAACAATGCATTATAAATAACTTCATTTTCTAAATGAAATTTAAAAACGAAATTAATTTTAAAAAATGGATTGTATGCTGTTCTTAAACAAAAGCATTCAATTTTATAAGTGCTATCTAATTACTAATTTTACTATTTGCTTTTATTATTTTTATCTTTTTTTAAAAAAGAATATAGCTTATGTTAGTGTGGTCTCATTTGTTCAGTGACTAGTTTACAGTTTCAGTAATCTTTCAGGTGTCACACCTGTTGTGGCAATAAATAGTCAACTTCTCACTTACAAGACTTGGCAAGGCGCTTTCTGCCATTGCTGTCCCACTTTCTTATTGTTTGATTTGGATAACATCCAAGGACTCCAATTCATTCAGAGTGTGTATTTATCCCCCTTTTTTTTGTATTTATCCCCGGATTTTGTCACCTCACATTACTTTTTTGAAACTGGCAAACTTTCATTCATCCGATTGCTGACTCACTCTCTTGCCCCCCCCCCTTTTTTTTTCTGTACACAAAATTAAATAAACAGTTACTCCTCATATTTGTTCCATTGCTCTAGTTCAGAAAAACTTATTACAGTTTTTTCACTCTCTGAAATTATTATTTTTTAATATGGCGATATTTAATTTTTAGAGATTCATCTGTATGTAAATCAATTTTATTCATTGTGTAAATATATTCAAATAAAAGCTAAAATCATTATTTTTTTTTTCTTTTTTTTTTACTTTTATTTAATGAAACATGTTCCGAATTTAAAGATGGGGACATTATAAGAAAAGACACTGAGAGGCTTAAGAGTATTGTAACATATTTTGGCTTAAATATTGTGGTTTTGGAGAAAATTTAAACAAGTTTTAAAGTGTATCAAAATTCCATTGTACAGAATTCTTTTTTTTCTAGCTAAATATAACAATAGAGAGCTTTTTTAAATTTTTGGAAAATTTGGTATTATGATTCATTTTTTAAATAATAATCTTTGAAACATTTTTTTAGTCTTCCTAAAAATTAATGAACATTAAAAATTAAAATGTAATGAAAAAATTTGTGTCATTATCTCTGCATAGTCTCTTTCAAATCAAAGACACTTTCCTTTCTTCTATGTTAGTATATTTCAAATGGCAAAAAAATTATGTGATTATTTTATTTATTCCCGCATACTCAGGGCCTGCACTAAGGATTTCAAATTAGTAGCCAGTAAATAAGCCAAATATCAAAAGAATTCGCCAATTTTCAAAAGTTTTTGCCTAATGCAAATCTTTAAAAAATTTTATGACCCATTTTTTCCCCATAGAATTTTTCAACGGGGTTTAATCAATATTTTATGGTAGTTTGGTCCAGGCTTATATTATTTGTACCTAATTCCAGAGATGGTTGTGCTCCGGAAAAAATCCGGATTTTTTGCTAACCGAGATCGGTCCAGAAGTTCCAAGAAATCATCCATCACATTTATAAATTAAAATTCTTGTATATTTTATTTAAAAATATTATAACTAGAATTTATACTTCCTTTGTATCTCTTTCATTTGTAAATATTTTTTTCTGGTAGAATAATAAATGTGATTAGAAATAAAAGTAAACTTATACATAGTTATTCATTTAATTTATAGAGCCATTAATTTTTTTAAATGCGTCATTAATGATCTTACTCAAAAAAATTTCAGGATTTCTGAATTTGGCTCACAATCACAGCTGTAATTCTAATTGGTTATGTGGCACATTTACTGAAAATTACTGTAGTTGAATAAAAAATGCTGATTTGTTTCTTAAAAAAAATTCATTTTGACGTAGTTTTGAGGATTGAATTAAATATATATTTTTCTTTCCAGTGTAAAAAATCATTCTCCAAAACACAATTTTATTTGCCAAATTTTCGATTTTATCGTATTTGGTGAGATGGCGATTGCTTAGCGTGGGCCCTACTTACTGTTTAATCTACACTTTTTTTTCAATTTCTCAGGTTACACATCTGTATATCTCTTTTTATTTTTGTTTTAGTTTGATGCTGTAAGGATAAATCAAATCTACGAGCAAGCAAAGTGGGCAATTTTAGCTGAAGAAATTGACTGTACAGAAGAGGAAATGATGCTCTTTGCAGCTTTACAGGTTAGTGATTAAGTAATAGATTTTACTTTTTCATACAAATAGTGATATGCAGTTGTACTAATAGAAGAAGTAGGATGACTTATATTACTGATTCTTTTTGCTTTTGCCTGTTTTCTGAAATTCTTTTTATTTGTTTACATTTTTAAAATCTAACCTTCAAAATTCAATAATATTTTATTTATTTATTTCTTTGAATTAACACCTCTTCCAATTGTGATTGTTTTCTAGGGTTTGTAGAAAATAACAGGCATTGAACATTATCTAATGATCTTAAAACTGGTATCTAATAGGTATTTCATATGATTCATTTAATGCATCAGGTGTGCTTATTTATGTTATAAACCTTTGAAAGAAAAAATGCATGGGAGCAAAATTAAAAGTCACCAATTCTAAACAGATGTTTAAAATTTACTATGTGATCCATTTTTAAGAGAAATGACGTAAACTTTGTAAAAGTAAAAATTTTGCTCAATACCATATAATAAAAAATAAATTCTGTGCATTCTATATCATTATAAAAAGCTTTAAAAAAATTTTCTACTAGTCTATATATTATGAGGACTCTCTGTTATAATGTTCTGTTTCTTTCTTTTTTTATGTTATATTCAATGTTTAATTATAATTGTTAGCCAAAAAAACTAAAGTATTTTAAATTTTTGAGAAATCTAGGTTAGTTTAAGAACCCTTTACAAAGTAATTAATTTATAAAACGACTCCTTTAAATAATAGTTTATTGTACCCGTCATAAAATGTTTTTTTTTTCTCCTCAAAACTTTTTCAAACTCAAAACTTTTCCTTGTACAAAACTTTTTTTTTTCCTTTGAAAACTGGAATCAATAATGTAAATTCATTACTTTATATTAAAAAAATTGTTGAAATATTTTTTTTTTCACAAACATTTTTGTGTGGTTTTTCATAAAATCAGAACCTATTTTTAAAAATTCACTACATAACATGTGAATTTTTAATAATTTTTCAAAAACATACCTTTAAAAACAAGCCTTAAATAGACAATTGGTTTTTGTGGTTTTTCACAAAATCAAAACCTATTTTCATAAATTCACAAAATTATAAGTAAAGTTTTCTGAATTTCTCAAAAATGAACTAAATTTTATTATCTTACAATATATTTTAAATTTTTAAGCTAATTATTTTTGTCAGTAAATTAAAATTTTTGTTTCCAACTAGGTTCAAGTGAACTTGCAGGCTAATCACCCACAGCCAGAGAGTTACCCAGAAGATGAAGATGTTGATGCAGCCCTCACTGATCTTCAAGTCACCCTTGAGGGAACTTTGATCAACAAAGGAAAAGTCAACATCACAAATGTCCCTGAACTCTCAGACTATTTGAATTTCATGAAGTGAGTTTGCATGTTTTAATTTTGTGAAATATCTGATGTCCCTGAGTTTCAATGAATTGCAAGCTTGAATTCAGTGTAATATTTGATTTCTCTTGTTTGTGCCTTAGTTTACAGACTTTGTTTGCAGACTTATGCGTAATTTTTTATATATCAATCTATTGTTGTACCAAATGAAATTGTTTCTAGACAAAAATCAGGTTTTGCATATTGTAGTTAAAATTATTTTTTCCATCCCTTCTAGGCCAAAACGGTTTACTTTGAAAGGTTTCAGGAGGTTCTTCATCACTCTTAGAGATACCTATCTGAATCTTTATAAATCTAAGGATGATGGACCTGCACTTAGCATATGTTTAAAAGGTAATTGAAACACAAAATTTGGTCCATTGTAAATAATTCTGGTTTCTCATTCATAATTATATAATTATGTAAAAAAAAATTTAATATGAGATTTTACAATATTTTTAACAGACCTGCTAGAAATCTTGATGTTTTAAATATGTCTTTTAATTTTTTTTAAAATTTTTTATCTAAATATTTTATTGTTGCAAATGACCTCTCTTTCTTTTTCATTGTGTCCACTGTAATTGAATTGAATTTTTCATTTCCATTGCATGATTCATTGAATTTCATTATGTTTCAAATTATTCATTATATGTTTCCAATTTTATTTTCCTTTACAGTATAAACTATGAAAATGAATTCTTTTTTTAATATGGTTTCTTTCAATTCGGAAGAAATAATTTCTTTCATTCAAAATAAAATGTGTATTAGATTATTTATTTATAACAATATATTTGTTGTAAGAATTTCACAAACACAATTTTTTTTTTGTAAAATTTTTTGTTGTAAAGTTTGTTCAAAGTACTCATTTTTTGTTATTTACTCATTTTAAAATAATTTTTTTTCCCTTTTTTAAAAAAATTTAAAGTTAAACTTTACTAATCGGCAGCCCATTGGTTTCCCCCCCCCCCCCCCAATGGAACCTTAAATAATCTCAAACTTCATTTGGCAAAACCCTGATTTAAAAAACATCCATTAGCAGGTGTAAATATGCTAACAAAAAATAGATGAATAAATTACCATGAATCAATTCAAAAATATTTAATGTAAAAAATTTTTTCATCAATCAGTCTTTAAGATTAGGTTTTATGTTAGGCAGTTGAATTCACAAGTCTGCAGCGGTTACATTTTTGCTGTATAAGTTAAGTCTAGTAACTTTTGTCAAACCCAAAACAACACCCATTTTGCCAATAGGTAATATGGTTCATCATTGTAACATTTATAGTGATAAAAGATTTTTCTAAATAGGTTGTGAAGTCACTCCTGATGTTAATCTCTCTCATGGAAAGTATGGTATTAGATTGGAAGTTCCCAACCATGAAGGAATGACTGAATATTGGATAAGATGTAATTCAGTAAGTATTTTATCCTTTGAATAAAATAATTTACTATTTAGTTATTATACAGTCGAACTCGTTTATAATGAGCACAAAGGGACCGTAACATGTACTCGTTAAATCCGAGTGCTCGTAATAAACGAGTCCTTAAGGCAGACGTGCAACCAGAAGGGGGGGGCTTGGGAGGTCAAATGATTGAGTTGACTTAAAATTTAATTAATACTTACTTACATTAATTGCATTAATTAATTTAGTTAAATACTTTTCTTAATTTAATGACAACTAACCCCCCCAACCAGCAAAATATTTCTAGTTGCGCTACAGTCTTAAAGGAAAGAAAAATAAAGGAAAAGATTCTTTCCAAAACATTTATTTTTTTCATTAATCTACATATTTAAAATAGTTTGTCAGCTTACTTTGAACTCGCGCATTTCATATCATTTTGAAAAAAAGATAAGACAGTGGAAAGATGAGAAAAAAGATTGCAAGACTTCTGTTCCATAGACTTAACATTGATCCAACCAAATATTCTCGTTTCCCTCGGTAAATCCGAGTTCTCGTTATAAACGAGTTAGACTGTATTTTTTTTTAAATAAAAGTAAATAAGAGAGTTAATAAGCAACAATTACTTTGGTTTAATTACTGTTGTTTATAAATTTTTTAAGGTTCTCTTATTGCTCAACATTTTTTCATAATTTTAATTTCTGTAAATGTCTTTGTTTTTAATTGTCAAGGTATAGCAACAAGCATTCTAACTATTTCATTTAAATGACATCAAACCTTTTTTTTTTTTTGCAAGCCTTGATTCCGCAAGCTTATGGGTTCTGTACACATTATAAGAAGTCCAACTTTAATGATTATCATGGTGCATAGTGTTTTTAAAAAGTGCTCATTTCGATATTCGTTTTTTAAAAGCCCTTAAAGATGTTTGTTTCATTGGGTATTTTTAAAAAGTGATTAATTTTCCCTTCTCGAATATAAGATTTTTTTCTTTACCATGTCGATTTTTGCCACGTATTATGCAAAAGCGTACTTTTCACATTGCTCTATTCAACGTTTTCACAATCTATTTCTGTGTAAAGTCGGTCCATAGCATATGAAACCGCCAATCATTTTACATGTTTGATCAAATGCTTGTGAGTCCGCATGCGCGTCTACTGAGCTGGGTTCGGTGACATTATTGCACTCTCATGTGCAACTCTGTTGCATTTTGCAAGATATTCTCAATTTCAGCCTTCATTTTCCACCCTCTGATATTGGACTGAAAAATCTCGATCATTTTATAATGGCTAATATAATCAAGAAAAAAGTTCTTTGTCAGAAACTAGTTATTTTATCATGATCAAGTAAAGTCTTTGAAAACTATTTTGCTTTTTTGTTAATGTATATAGTGCTTAAAAATATTTTTGAGTGCTTGAAAAGTACTTAAAATCTGCTTATTTTTTGTTAAAAATTTGGCTACGCACCCTGATTATTTAAAAAATAAAAATTATGAATTGACTTATGACTTAAAAGTTGAAAGCAAATTTGAGGACTCTTTTTGGAATTTTATCTCATGAGTAATTTTCATGAAAACAAACAATTTTAAGTTCATTAAGTCGAGAAAAAAATTATACCTTCCGATTCTCAGGTTTTACGACTGAGTTTCATACACAGTGGGCATATAAAGTTATATTTTTGTTTCATGAAATAATTTTTAAAAAAAAAAAATTTTTTTTTTTTTTGCTGAAATGCATTCTAATAGATACCTTCCACCTGAAAAAAATATGCATTAGTCAATAAACAAGACTAAATTACACCGGGATGAGATTTTTTATGAGAATTCCATTAAATTTTACTTTTAAATTTATGTATTTATTTTTGTATTTTCTGCATAATGACAGTCAAATCTTTTGTTTCAATTTTGTATTCATATGTCATTAATATTACAGGAAGAACAATATGCAAAATGGATGGCAGCCTGTAGGCTGGCAGCAAAGGGTAAAACCATGGCCGATAGTTCTTATGATTTAGAAGTAAAATCCATTCAGGATTTCTTAAATATGCAGAAGCCAGCACCTGCTCCTGTTATCAGTCCTTCACAAATTGATATTAACCCTGATGACATGGTGGCACCTCGATTCATGAAAAAGTTGAAATCACAAAAGGTTTGTACATTTGATACCATATTCACATATTAAATTCCATAAAGTCTTTTCCCTCATGCTTAAAGTTGTTTAAGGAGTATTGATAAAAAGGGAAAATATTAAATATGCTTTAATTTATCTTAATTTGATTTTTCCAAATAAACTAATAGTGGATTACAGTATTCAGTTTCAAAACATGCGAAATCAATCCATCCCAATGGGAAAAATATAACATAGCTTATTTTATCATTTAATTTAAATGTTTGACAAAATTATTCCAATGTTTTAAAATTAGTTTTTTTTATTTTATTTATTTATTTTTTGTAAATAGGTTTTTGAAAATTTCTTTGTTTTCAACATATTTGCACCAACAGAATTTTTAAACATTGTGCAAATCAGTTCTTATTAATTAAAAGCAAATAAGATTTAATAAACTATCCAAAGTTATTTACCACGTAAGTTTATTGTTTTGTATTTTTAAGAAAAAAGATCAGTCGAAATTCAAATAATTTCGAAGTGCTAAAAAAGAAACACCTTTATTTTTAACTTTTTTTTTTACTCTTTTTTTTTCTTTCAAAAAGGATATATATATAAATATTGCTGTCAAATTATATTTTATCAAAAGTCTGTTAATCTTCATAAGGGTTCAAAATGGGCTCCACTTATTTTTAATAAAATATTAAGAGTGCTAATATTATCCTACTTCCTACTAAATAATTAAATTGATCCCAAAATAATTTTATTCATCCATAATTTTTCACTTAGAGAAAATATAAATTTACACACTCAGTCAATGAACAGATGCTAAAATATTCTTCAAACAATGAGATGGGGCTTATTGTGTAGTGTACCCTACTTCAATCTTTTATTCATATATTTTCTCAAATTTTTTTTTTCTTTAGAGTTTTAACTTTTAAATATATCTTAGTAAACATATTTTATTATTCCAAGCATTATGCATATCAAATAATAGCTTTATATACCCACATAAGAAAATAAAAAATAATTTTTTTTTTACTAAAATTGTGAAGTGAGGTCTATTATAGACTCTGTTTTTAAAACATAGCAATTATGTTACTGGGAATATTAAAAATTTGATTATGGATACTTATTAAGAAAATAACAGCTAAAACAATTTCTTTTTAAGGAAGTGTAAATAGATAATTGAGGTTGGGAATTATAATGAATTCAACTTCACAAATAAATTCACATATTAAAAATTAGAAACACAAAGAAAAGTAAAATAAAAATTTAACCCAAAATCTAGTATGAAGAAAGAGAAGACTTCATTAGTAACTTATAGTGTTAAAGCTATTAAGTTTTTTATAATTATGTAGGTTTTGAAAACTAAATTGAAATAAATTTTTATTTTCCAGATCATCACCAGAATATTGGAGGCTCATGCAAATGTAAAAGATCTGAATTTAGTGGAGGCCAAACTAAGCTACATCAAAGCATGGCAAGCACTTCCAGAATTTGGAATGTCTTTGTTTGTCGTCCGTTTCGACAATGGTCGTAAAGACGTAAGTACAACATGTTTACTTATGAAGCGTAAATGTTTTCTTTAGAAAACAATGACCCTTACAGGACAATGGAATAAAGACAAGTCTCTTATTTTTGGATATAAAATAAACCACTAAAACTGTAATAGTTTTTATTGTTTAAACAAATCAATTTGCAATCAACAACTTTTTATTCATTGTGGATATGCAGGACGCAATTCTCAAGTCTTTTCTTAGATAAATTTTTTGATTAAAATGTCCTGCCCTGTAAAGGGTTAAGCCAGAAGTGACCAATAAATTTCGTTTGACACGAATAACAAACCCAAATTAGAATAACAGTTTTTATTTGCTTTTTGACACCCAGGCACATTAGTCTTAACTCATATATTTATTTATTTTGAAAAACTTCTTATTGTGTAACATTGTTGGCGTAATATTTATGTTTCTCGTATAGTTTTCTCGCATTCCTTTGAAATTAAAAATGACTTAAAAAATTTTCTTGACTCTGGATACTGTTAAGAAAAAAAAATTTTGAGTTCCTTAGCAAATAATGTAAAATTATAATTTTTTTTATTTATAAGTTATCACTTCAGTAAGAATGCATAAAATACGTCTCACTATCCTCTATTTACGCTTTATTTTCATATTTTTTAATCTAGCAAACTTGTTGCGAAAATATTTTAAACCCTTTCTGTAAGATGCCATTAAGTGGAAATACATTTGAATATATGTTGAATTTTGTGTTTTATTCTGCTGTAGTTTCTAGAATTTTTATTTTCTATTTTTAGCTTGATATGTTTTATTTTGTAAATTTTGCTTAATACAGGGTTGCTACACTACCTGGAAAACCAGGAAAAGTCAGGGAATTTAGAAATTTTCTAAAAAATCAGTAATAGGATTTTTAGCAATTTTATGCAACAAAAAAAAAAGGAAAAATCAGGGAGTTTGATGTGGGGAGCACCAAGCATGTGATCTTCGCACCACCATGCCCCATAGAACACATTTCTTAGTCAAGAGTTTCATTTTCACCCCTTTGGCATAGAACCAAATTTCACACAACCATAGTATGCCATGGTTTAGTGACTTAGAAAAAGTGTTATTGGTTGCAAGAATTCATAACAGATAGAAGGGTGGATGGACTTCAGATTGTCTATTTTTATTTTCAATTAAGAAATTCATTCGGATTAATAGTGTTTTATAATCTCTTATAAATTATTAATGCTTTTTATTGTTAGTTACCTTATTCCTCCATTACTAAGGCTTATTAAATGAATTTAAATCTGTTTTTAAGAACTCGCGAAATATGTTTTTTTTTTTTTTACTTTGATATATGCGGAAAAAAGTATTTTTTTGGAATCAAAACCTTTAGGCACTGATATAATGGAGTTGGTAATTTTTCTACTTTGTCTCTTAATTAGATAATTTAATATTTTCATATTATGGAATAGTTAAATTATCAGTGATATAAAACTGAATTTATTGTGACCCTCAAAGCTTAGATGTCCTTTTCCCTGCTGCACTTTTCCAAAATAAGCTGTGCACTCTTATTGAAGTTTGATATAGTCTTTCAGAAAAGTCTAAAGTTAGAGTCAAATACTTCAAACACAGATCACATGTTTATATGCATAATGCAATGAATAACTCAGAAAAATATTTTCTTAATTTTTATGTGAATTAGATACAGTCTAGAATTAAAACTTCTGGATCATTCTTCAAAATTTGCTTATAATGAGATGGAACCTTTGAGGTGAAGGTTCATAAATTTCCGTTGACGATATTCACCTGTTTTCTAAGAAATCATCAAAAGATTAAATACATATTAGTAAGTAGTTTTTTTGGAATTGAAATCTTTAGGTACTGATATAATGGTGGTGGGGGGGGGGGTTACTGAATATAATTTATTTTACTTTTTCTCTTAATTCTAAAGATAATTTGATATTGTTGTTCAGGGTTTCCACAGCTCTGGATGAACAGGGAAAACCTGGAATTGTCAGGGAATTTTATTTTGACTCCGAAAATCTGGGAATATTCAGGGAAAGTTGCAATTTTTTTACAAAAATCTGGAATATTCATATTTTATACCTGGAAAATAACCAGTTTTAAAATTGTCAGTAACAGTAATCAGTTATTGAGATTTGAGTTAAATAATTATAACATCTATTAAAATTATTTGTTGTAAAAATTTCACAATTTAGTCAAACTGAAATGTTCCCATCCTCATTTAATAATATTTTTTTTACCCAGAAAATCTAATATTTCGTTTTATAAATAAAAGAATCAAAGTTTTCTGATGAAAATATGGTCTTGATTTTCATTTAAATTTACCTTGTATGTCTGGAAAAGTCAGGGAATTTTCTTTCTGAAATTGAGTGGGAACCCTGTTGTTAATATTATGGAATAATTGAATTATTATCATGGATATAAAACTGGATTGTGGCCCCAAAAGGCTAGAAGTTCTTTTTAATGCTGCCCTTTTCCAAAAATAAGCTGTACACTCCTATTGTAAAACGATACAGTCTTTCAGAAAAGTCCAAAGTTGGCGTCATATATTTCACTCGCAGAATACAGAGATATTTTATAAAAATCTACGTTTTACTAATATTGGAATTTAATTTATAGGAATTGCTTGGAATAGCCTTCAACCGACTGATGCGTATGGAGCTCTCCAGCGGTGATCACATAAAGACTTGGCGGTATAACACGATGAAGGTATGGAACGTAAACTGGGAAATGCGCCAAGTGCGTGTTCAATTCGAGGAGGAAAATGTTGCTTTTAGCTGTCTCTCAGCTGACTGTAAAGTTGTTCATGAGTTTATTGGTGGCTACATTTTCTTATCAATGAGATCTAAAGATCAGAACCAAACTCTAAATGAAGATCTTTTTCATAAACTGACAGGCGGGTGGGTGTAAAGTCTTCCGTTGGAAATGTTTTAAAAAGTAAGAGAGGTGCCAATATTGTTATTTGTTTTGAAGACTGATGTTGAGACTGTTAGTTTCTTATACATTTTAAGAGTATAAAGCTTGCAATTAATTTAAAAATTGCATTTTAAGCCTGCATTTTTAACCGAAATGGTAGGTTGACTATTCGCGGCTTGATAACTGGATTAAAAAAGAATATCTTTGTGCCTCTTTGAATTTTCTTTTTTTACTACAATCTTTTGTCATTCTCAAGTTAATACATTTTTTTATACATTTTAAGAGTATAACGCTTGCAATTTATTAAGATTTACATTATTAACTGAAAGCAAAATGTTGATTATTAGAATTATAATAGACTAAAAGAAATTATATCTTTTAAATTTTCCTTTTTATTGCTATTATTCCTTATCCTCAAGTCGAGATGCATTTTGATTACAATTAATAATTGCTTACTTTTGTAAACCTTATTTTATTTAATTTTTTTTAACTGCAGTAAAAGATTGATTATTTGATTCTTGATAACCTGGTTGAAAACTTTTTGTGTCAATTTGAATTTTCATTTTTATTGAATCATTTTTCAGCGTCACATTAAAACTGTTACTTTTCTTTTTACTTTTTTATTTATTCTTAAAGCTTGCAATTAAATACCCGCATAACTTTAAATGAAAGGTTGATTATTTGAATCTTGGTATCAATATTAAAATAAAATTGTCTCTTTGAATTTCCATTTTTATTGCAATCATTTGTCAAATTAAGATTTTTAATGTTTTCTACATTTTTAGAGTATGAAGCTTGCAATTAATAATAATTGCTTATTTAAGTTTGTGTTTTTATCTGCAATCAATTATTGATTGTTTGGCTCTTGATAACTTAATTAAAATTCTTTGAATCTCTATTTTTATTGCAATCATTTAGCCTTTTGGATTCAAACAATATTCTCTCTTTTTTAATGAGATTGAATTTTTTTAAAAATTTGTTAATGCTTTTAAACTTTTTTTTTTCTTTCTAGAAATTGAGGTTATTAAAAATTGTGAAAAGTTAAGGATCTTAATGCATTTTATTTTTTTCTGCTAACTGTATTTAATTGCTGGCAACTTTTAATACAGTGAAAATTTTAATGAATTGAAAGTATACTATTCTTGGTCTTCAAAGTTTATTTTCTTATATAATTTTATAAAAAAAAAATAATAATTTACTGAAACCCATATTACAGAATCATAACTATTGAGAATTGAATTCATTGTAAAAACTATTTTTTGAAATCAGTGAGAATTAATGTGTGCTTTTTTGAAATCAACAAAAATTTATTATATAGCTTTAGGCTATCTATTTTTAATTCTCATTTATGTGACCAATCAGTATCCTTTAAAAGGCCACAAACATGGGAGGGTCATGTTCTGGTGTGATTATTTTACAATTTAAAATTATTTTTTAAACATTTAAGTGTACTGTTTATTTTCTTATGCGTGACAATTTTAAAGTTATCATTAAGTTTTAAATTTGTGTTTTATTTTTATAATTTACAGAGAGGCAGACAACTAGTGCATTTAAAAAAAGTTTTAAAAATTAAAGTACATTTTTAACAAAATTTTTTTTAATAATTTTAAAATGAATGTGTTGTTTATTCAGTTGTCATCAAAATAAAAAAGTAAAAGCAGTTTAATATTTCAGAAATTAATCTTTTGAAAATTGTTTTCTAAGTATCCATTATCTTAAGAATGTAGGACAATTAAATTTTTTCTCTATACTATATGGCACATTCTTTATTAAACTTTACCTTCTGTATATATTCAATGAACTGATATAAATAGTATATTTTATATCAATGTATTTGTTTCATGTTTTTATAAGTTTGTATTTCTGCAACTATTAGGCATAATATTTTACTAAAACACTTGACTCTTCAGGTTATTTTTATAGTTAAATAAGTTTCATTAATAATATTTAATTTGTTATCAAGAAATTTATAGTATGTCTTATTTAAATAAAGTTTAAGGGAAAGCTATTAGGTTATTGCAATCTATTTTTAGAAGTGTTTTTTTAGTTCTTTAGTTAACGAAAATAAAAAAGCTGCTGTTAAAGTGCCTTATGTTTGAGGCAAAGTTGTTATTTTATGCTACATATAATATTTTGATTTTTTTTTTTAATAAGACATTATAATATCTAAACACTTTTCTACGTTATCGAAAATAGATCCAAAAGTTCTGTACTTTCGATATATATTGTTTATTCACCAATAGTTAAGTTTTAAAATGGTTTATGCATTTGCACGTGTAGTCTACACTGATGGCTTTTGTGGGAGGCATATATGTGTCCATAGGCCACACTGATAGTTTTCATTGGGTGCATATATAGCAGTAAAAAAAAATAATCATAAATGTGTTAACCTAGTAATCTATAACTAGTTATATATCTTCATAAATTATTAATCTAAATATTCATTTTCTAATCTTAACTAGTGAAATACATATTATGTCATTCTATTTAAGTCCAAGAGAATATGTTTTCATTATGAAAAGAAATATTGATTTTCATATTGTGTAAAAATTGTATGTTCATTTAATATTAATTGAAACTCTCAACTATATGATGCATAGTTGAATATAACATTTTGTATTTTTGTGTTACTTTACTTTTATAGCTTATCTGCTCATTTTATTTATGTTATAACTTAAGCTGTACATTTTTTGCTAGTTATATCTCTGAATATTTTTCTAGACTTGCTTTGTCTGCCATATTTTGGTAAGACGTAAGAATATTCTTTTTAGTATTTTTAAATATCTTAGGTATGTTACGAACAGTATTGTCTTGGTAGCTTTTTTAGTAAACGATAGTAAATTATTTTACTTGTTGAGTTAGATATGTTGTTCTGAATAGTTAATACAATTCTAAATTTGTATATTTTGGAAATGAACTGAAGATAAGTGTATTAGTGTTATGAAAATTGTTATTTTCATTTGATTTGTTTACAAGATTTATCTAATTGGGTAAAGATGAGCATATTTAAAACAAAAATTTAAAAATCATTATTTTTTATATATAAAGTTCTAATATACGTTCATTAGGTCTCTATTATATTCAAATTTTAATTCTATGATTGCTGTAAATGAAATATTTTAATTACCCGAATAAAGTTTTCTTATTATTTTTTATAATAACATGTTTAAACTGCATTTTTTAAGAATTTTTGTTGTTCTGAAAAAAATTTCACTAACATACATTACCAAAAAGGTTTGTTGTAGACTTTTATAAAGTTTGGTATGTATATTTTTAATAATATTGACCAATGTTTTTAACTATAAGTTGAGTTTTCATTAAGGCTTTAAATGTTGCAAGCAAATATTTTGTTTCTTTTTTATTTAAGTTATTACTTCTGAACATAGATAACTATATTTAGTCTCATAAAAAAGATCCTTTTCAGTATAAATATTCAATTTATTGCAGAGTTGTTAGTATAAAATTAAATATTGCAGTGTTTGCTCTATTACGTTTTTATTTTGCAAAAATAAATTGTTTAAATTTTCTTAAGAATTATAATTATAGGACCCATTTCGTTTCTGATATCAAAATTAAATATTTTAAAGAAAAAATTGTTTACATTAAAAAAGACTTGATAATGAACTGTAAAAACATTGATTCATTGTTTTATATTTTGCTTTAAGCTACTACAGTTATATGGGTTGCTACTCCACAGGGAAAACCTGGAAAATACAGGGAATTTAAAAATCACCGAAAATAACAGGGAATTTTGATTTTTTTTTCTTTATTAATGGGAAAAATACAGCGAATTTTGTTTTTGTTTCTTTTTGTTTTTTCTCTTTGAAAAAAAGGTGGCCACTCAATGCATAATATATGAGATATTAAAGGATGATATTCCAACTATACTAAATTATTTCATTTAATAAAGCATTATTTAAGCATCTTCAGCTGTTCCTTTTTTTTTTCTCTTAAGTTTTTGCTGCAATTAAAACTAATAAATATAGTTAGCCCTATATAGCTCACACAAGAGCACAGTAATTGTGTTTCCTGGTAATATATTGTGTGTAATAGGTACAGGGAAATCACGGGGAATTTTTTCTCTCCAGATTTGGGTGGCAACCCTGTTAAGAATTATGTATTTAAAAAAATATATATTGTTAGAATCAAAAGTTTTTAATCTGAATTCTGATATTTTTCTACCTCAAAAAGGATTTTATATTAAAAAAAAAATATTAGACATTGGTGCCTTCATGATTGTATTTGGTGTAAACAAGTACCGGTATGGAAATATCTCCGATATGTTAAACTACCTCTTTCTCAAGTGCATTAACTAAAAGTGTATGATTGTAAAAAGTTTCTGTAAATTTCTTCAAAAATTTCTATTTCTATATATATATATTAGCTTTGTATCTACGTATTAGGCTGCAAGCCTCGTACATGCTTTGGCGCTGTGCCTAAGATTTGATAAAATATATAATAATAATTTAGAAAATACTTAGAAATTACAGTTTTTAAATTTTTCCCGAAAACTTCAGATGTATGCTTGTGCTAGTTTGTTGATAAACTTGTTTATTCTTATCTTCTAAATATAAAACATCAAGCAGTTTTCTATTTTATATATTTAATTTCAGATATATTCGTTTTTTTAACAAGAAACAATAAAAAAAAACACATAAAATTTTTACAAAAGTATTGTTTTGCTTTGTATCAATAGTTATATACAGTTAACAATTCGAAATCAATGACTGAAAGCATTGATTATATTATTACTATTTTTATCACGTTAAAATTTTTTTATTTTAAAGTTATTGTTGTTTCTTGGATACAGAAAAGTAATAAATATAAATCACCATATAACTAATACTAATCATAACTGTTTATTTTCTATGTGTCGAAAAAATTTTTTTGATTACTTAGGATTTTTTTTTCTAATTATTTAACTAGTACCTAACAGTTGCATGCAGTAATGAATTTATTATGCAACAATGTTATATTATTGTTAGAAAAATGTTACAAATATTGCAGTGATGATTTTTTTTTAATCAAAAGAGTATTTGCGTATATTTTATGTTTATGAATTATTTTGTAAAGAATGCAATAATCCACATATGTTTATGCATGTTTTGTGTATGTATTTTATTAATCTTTTCACTTGTTACATTTCATACACTTGTTATTTTTTTTTTTTAAATATTGTTGTTTATTTTAGTTTTAAGAATTACTTGTTTGAGTTATGAGAAGAATCTTATTTACAAAATTTTGTCATTATTATTTCATTTCTTGGCTCTTTAGAAATATTTTGAACTTCAAAGCAATCTTACATTATACATTATTCTGAATATATGCATTTTACAAAATGGTCATAACATAGCATGTTTTTAATTGAAAATGTTTTTCAGTAAATGGTTAGAGTATAACATGTTTTTATTATAAAAGTCCATCTGAAAATTTAAGTATATACTTATTTTTGTAGTTTGATGAAATATTTACAAGTTAACAAAATAATAACTTAATGTAACAATTAAGTTGCACGTAACTGTACTGTTACAAACTTACGACATTTTTAAAAATGGCATATTTCTTGTACAAAAAGTGTTGTTTCAATTGACAACAGCCTTAATATTTTATTTCAAGTAAATTCAATAAATTACGTGAACTTTTTTTGTCATATTATTTTTATGCATTTATTCTTGATGCAATGTTAAAGGACTGAATTCATATTTGAAAGGACCCTTGTTAAAATAAGCTTTTAACAATTTGCATTCCTAATGCAGTAATAAATTAGGAAATTTAGTTACTAGCCAGTAGTAGCATTTTTAACTGTTCCCACTTTTTAAAACATGTGGGCACTTTTACAAAAATTTAAAATTTTAGACTAAAGAAAACCTTTTGATACATATAAGTAATGTAAAGCAATTTTTTCTTTGTAGCATTTCCCAAAATATTGCAAACATTACACATATCTAAAGTGAGGCAAAATTTTGATAAGTAATTTTTCGAATGTGGTAATTTTTCGAATTTAAGTGGGGAAGTTAAAGTAATTTTTCGAAAGTTATGAAATATTCATAATCCCATAAGTATTTTTTTAAAGAAAATATAGTGAAATGGTCATGGGGGCATTTTTGCCAAAAACAGTGGTGAATGGAAAACAATTTTTACTTGTTACATAACGTTGCGCTGCGGTCGGTGAGACTATTGTTTATACTCTATAATTCACACAATTTTTGAAAAAACAAATTAAATATTCAGGAAAGATTAGATATTACTGAAAATTTGTATTCATGTAAATTTGTATTCATGGCCGAACTTAACTGTCTGTAGGAGGCCAAATGGGTGTGAAAACACTAAATATTTTATTA